AATATAGTTGATTTATATAATGTTTTGGTAGTTTCAGGTGTCCAGCGAAGTGATTCAGTTCTATCTATATATTCTTTTCCAGATTATTTCATTGTAGGTTATTACCATATGTTGACTAGAGTTCCCTATTTTATTTTGCTATCCTGAGGGAGGGAGGCAGATGAACAGAATGTGCAGGATGGGACTGTCTGAGCTGAGGGATGACAATGTCCTGTTCCTTGACCTGGTTGGTATTTTTTAATACCTTGTCTATCTGATTTTATGTGTTTTTCTGCATGTTACATTTTATAATTATTGGAAAAACCCTGCCTACAACTCTGATCTTGCCTCTTCTGAGCCCACCTCTCTCCCCTCTTCCAGAGGAATGTCTTTTCTATCCTCATTTTCTCCAGGCTCTTAATGCCTACTTACAACACAAACTGTCCCTGGCCCCCACTCTGCCCCCAGTGACCAGTGATATCCAAGTTAGCAAATCAAAGGAACTTGTCTCCTCCATGGAGGAGTCTTTGCTTTCAACCTTGCAGTTCTTTTCCCCTCAGCTTCCCCAGACCCTTGCCCCTCACCTGGTTCTGTCCTCTCTTCCTGTGACTTTCCTGTTCCTGAAACACTGACACTCCCCAGGGTCCCTTCCCATGGTCTCACCCACTCCCTTGCCCACCTCTCTGCTAACAGCCCTCCAAAGTATAGTGTCCCTTCCAGACTCTGGTGCAGGTGTGCATGAAGCTTCCTGCTTCATCTCCATCTTCATCTGAATGTTCGGTATCATCTGAATTTCAAACAACAGGTCTCAAAATGAAGTCATTCTCTTCCTTGCTCCAACCTGATTCCTAAATTTCCTATCTCTGTAAAGGCAATCACTTCCAAGTTGACATCTTAAGCTAGAAATGTGGATGTGTTGTTCTCTTTAACCTGAGTACCAAGAGCTACGATTATTATGTTCACATTGTGCTAGGCACTTGCTACTTTATGCCTCGCCCCTTCTTCCAGATTCCTATTTTGAAAATCTCATGCCCTGAGTGGTATGTTAGGAGATGGAAACTTTGGGAGGTGATTAACTCAAGAGGGCAGAGCCTTTGTGAATGGGGTTAGTGTCTTTATAAAAAGAGACCTCAGAAAGCTTCCTGGTATTTTTGTCTTTGTGAGGATGGGGGCCTCACCAGATATTTAATCTGCTGATGCCTTGGTCTTGGACCTCCCAGCTTCCAGAACTGTGAGAAATACATTTCTGTTTATAAGCCACCCAGTTTGAGATATTGGGTTGGCCAAAAAGTTTGTTCGGGACTTTGTCGACAAAGGTCGGTATAGTCAAAGTTATGGTTTCTCCAGTAGTCATGAATGGATGTGAGAGTTTGACCATAAAGAAGGCTAAGCATCGAAGAACTGATGCTTTCAAACTGTGGTGCTGGAGAAGCCTCTTGAGAGTCCTTTGGACTGCAAGGAAATCAAACCAGTCAATCCTAAAGGAAATCAACCCTGAATATTCATGGAAGGACTGAAGCTGAAGCTCCAATACTTTGGCTACCTGATGCAAAGAGCTGACTCATCAGAAAAGATCTTGGTGCTGAGAAGGATTGAAGGCAGGGGAAGGGGGCAACAGAGGATGAGTTGCTTGGATAGCATCATCGACTCAAAGGACATGAGTTTGAGCCAACTCCAGAAGATGATGAAGGACAGGGAAGCCTGGCATGCTGCAGTCCATAGGGTTGCAAAAAAATCAGACATGACTTAGCAGCTGAGCAATAACAAGCCACCCAGTCTGAGATATTGGGTTGGCCAAAAAGTTTGTTTGAGTTTTCCTGCAAGATTTTATGGGAAAAGCCTGAATGAATTTTTGGCCAACACAATATTTTGTTATAGCAGCCTGAGTGAATTAAGACAGTTTTTTAAGAAACATATAGTACATACATTGTTTACATATATTACAGAGGAAGTCGTGAATATATTCTCAGGCAGGGCAGCTCTTACTCTTCTTGACTCCTGCCAATCCCACTGCAGGGGGGCCTCTAATTAGTATTAATACTGTCACCCTGCATCAGTTTCCATTGCCTATAACCTGGTTCTGACCATCAGATTAACCTAACTGGTGTCTCAGCCACACACAAGTCTCTTCCCATTTCTGTTCACCCTTAAGTAGTAGAGTACTTTAATACTTTGATCATATATATTTTGGTCATTTCCTGCTTGAACATCTGATGAGCACCCATGGAGGCCACATGGTCTGACACCAGCCTCCCCCACTCCCTTCACCCCCCAGCTCCACGTCCTCTCTACCCGGAGCACACAGGCTCTTTCAGGCCCCGGGCCAGGGCATAGACAGTTCTCTTTGTTTGAGATGCTCTGTTCACAACCTTCCCTGTTTATCTGGGAAATCCTTGCCTACCCTTAAGCGACACCTGATGTTCTCTGAACATCTGTGACACAGAATGGTGTGTTATTCCCTCTTGAATTGGCTTCCTCTCTGCTGCTGCTGCTGCTAAGTCATTTCAGTCGTGTCCGACTCTGTGAGACCCCATAGACAGCAGCCCACCAGGCTCCGCCGTCGCTGGGATTCTCCAGGCAAGAACACTGGAGTGGGTTGCCATTTCCTTCTCCAATGCATGAAAATAAGAAGTGAAAGTGAAGTCTCTCTGTCGGGTCTGACTCTTCGCGACCCCATGGACTGCAGCCCACCAGGCTCCTCCATCCATGGGATTTTCCAGGTAAGGCTCCCTCCCTAGTGGTGGCCATATCTAGAGGCCAGTTAACAATCGTGCTGAGTAAATAGGCGTCTCTGGAAATTCTTACTGAAGTTCTAGCACTGGACAGATAACCTGGTCAGTGCTTGAACAATCTGTATTACTGGAGGTGGAGATGGTGAGGAGACATCTCACAGGTATCTTAATCTTATCTTCCATTAGTTACCACCACTTCCCCACAATTTATTGACCCTAACAGCCCAATCCGTCTTTCCTTTGTCTATTCACTTCTCCACAATTTATCATCCTTTTAGAAAAGGTATATAAGCCTCTGAGTCTTACTGCTTCCTTGGGATTTTTACTTTCTTTCTGTGAAATTTATGTGTACAGAAAATTAAAAATATCAATAACATTTGTATGCCTTTTCTCCTATTTAATTTCCCATTTGTTAGTTTAATTCACAGACCTCAGGAGCTGAATCTAAGAGAGTAGAGGGAAAGACTTTCTCTCCCCAACACTTATAACCTGTGAGATGAGCATGACTGTGATAAATACACAGATGATGAAACAGGATCAGGGAGGTTACAATAACTTGTGGAAGACTCAGGACAACTCACGCTTGAGTCAAACCCTTTTACCTTCCTTGTTCCTTTCTTTGCTATTGCTTAAACATTTGTTTTGCTTGTGTATTGAAGCTGAAGCCTATGGGATTTCTGACATTTGTTCACATGGGCTTCCCAGGTTGAGTGTCAGCTGAGGAAAGGAAGCATACTTGGGAAGAGCCCTGAAAAATCCCTGTCCCAGGCCCAGTTAGAAAGCCTGGTATTTTCTGGTGACAGTCTCCCGTGGCATATAGACCTGGGCTAAGCAGCATGACTCACTCAGTGAGTTTTGGTTGATGACATAAGACAGTTTGCAAAATCCAGCTGTGTGGGGCAGGTACCCAGGCCTAATCTGACAGAGGATTTAACACCTGGTTTAAGAAAAAGGAACTCTGATCTGAATAGACATTTCTTCAAAGAGGACATACAGATGACCAACAGGCACACAAAAAAGATATTCAACACTGCTAGTTATTAGAGAAATGCAGGTCAAAACTGTGATGTGATATCACCTCACACCAGTCAGAATGGTGGTCAGCAAAAAATCCACAAACAGCAAATGCTGGAGGGGGTGTGGAGAGAAGGGAACCCTCCTATAGCGTTGGTGGAAATGTTAATTGGTATAGCCACTATGGAGAACAGTATGGAGGTTCCTTAAAAAACTAAAAGTAGAGATACCATATGACCCTGCAATCTCACTCCTGGGCATATATTCATACAAAAACATGATCCGAAAGTATCCATGCACCCCAGTGTTCATTGCAGCACAATTTACAATAGCCAAGAAATAGAAGCAACCTAAATTTCCACTGACAGAGGGATAGATAAAGAAGATGTGGTACATATACACAATGGAGTAATACTTAGCCATTAAAAAGAATGAAATAATGCCATTTGCAGCAATATGGATGAAGCTAGAGAGTGCCATTCTGAGTGAAGTAAGTCAGGCAGAGGAGGAGAAATATTGTATGACATCCCTTATATGTGGAATCTAAAAAGAAATGATACAAATGAACTTAGTTACAAAACATAGAGACTCACAGATTTAGAAAATGAGCTTATGGTTGTTGGGGGAAGGTATAGTTAGGGAATTTGGGAAGGTCAAGTCACACTGCTATCTTTAAAATGGATAACCAACAAGGACTGGAACTGCTCAATGCTATGTGCCAGCTTGGGTGGGAGAGGGAGAATGGATACATGTATATGTATCCATATACATATGTATATACATATACATATGGATATATGTATATGAGTCCCTTCGCTGTTTACCTGAAACTGCCACAACCTGGTTAATTTACTACATCCCAATACAAAATAAAAAGTTTGAAGTTTGGTGGGAAAAAAAGAATACACATGTATACTTAAAGAAAGGGAGAGAGGAAGGGACTCTGAGGTGCTGACTATGTTCAGGATCTGGATTCTTCCCCATTCTTCCCCGCTCACCAGTTCTTTGGGAAACTGTCTGTAGGTAAATACTATATCCCTGCCCTAAACACAGCAGGAGAGGACACTCTTGTTTTCAAATGACAGGGCAGGTCAGGGACCAAAACAAGTTCAGTTAAGAGACTTTTCAGGTTTGTCAACCCAAGAAGGAAAGAGAACCATTAAGAACCTTATTGTATTACAATAATTCCTTTTCTTTAGTGAAGAAACTTGCCAGAAAGGCCAGGAAAGAACATTACTTACTCGGTCTTAAACGTGAAACAAAAGACCTGCTCACCTGAAAGGCACTGTTGCTGCAACCCTGGGTGGGGAGGGTGGCCACCCTCTGCAGCTCCACAGAGCTTTTGCTGATCATGGACTTGCGCTCTGGAGTCTTTTCAGATTTCTGGACTGGGGAGCCGCTGTATCTGTGAAATCAAACACAGCCTCTGTGGAAGTCAGAATGCCACCTGCTGTCATAGGCACCAGGCCATCGATTCACTTGGGGAACTTTGATCTAAATCTCCTGGTTGGGGTGGGGCAGGAGTGGCGAGGGGTGGGGTGGACGCTTTCAGGTCAGATCCACCTACCTCATTAATCCTTCTCATTATCCCCATTCCTGCCGGTCCATTTTCACTCCGGGAAGAAGACTCCTGTGCTGCTCAAAACAGAAAAGGACATTTTCTCTACAGTCTTTTTTTTTTTTTCTCTATAGTCTTGAGTGAAAGAATCTAATTCCTGTGCCAGTGTTGGGCACTGGGGGTGGTGAGTGGCAGGAAAAATAAGGGCTGGCTATTACCAAGTGACCAGGATTCTGTGCTAGGTCTGTGTTCTAGACATTTCAGATGGTGGTCTTGATTTATCTTGAAACAAGGGAAAACTGAGGTGTCCATGAACATCACCTCAGTTAATCGCAGAGTAACAAAAGTTAATGGTTTGCTCAGGGCCACTTGGCTAATGAATGGACAGTGAAAAGTAAATTCAGGTCTGGTGGATTCCAAAGCCTTCTTACTCTATACCTGCCAGCAAACAGGGTTGCTTCAAAAAATCCAACTCCTAGAGGGACTTCCCTGGTGGTCTAGTGTTTAAGACTTCTAGGAATTTAAAAATGGTCCAGATCAAAATATCTTAAAAATAAATCCAACTCCTAGAAATGGAAAGATGTTATCAGGTAAATGAAAAGCGACCAACTTAAAAGATTCTTTCCTCTATGAAATTTTTAGCTGTGGGGTTTTTTTTTTTTGTTTTCAAAACCGCAATTTCTCCTAGTACATTTAAAATGAACTGTCGTGCATTTATTAATTATTATAATTGTGAGGCCTGTATGGAAATGTGAAAAATGTTCATGTTAAGTGAAAGACTTATGTATAATGTATAAATTGAATGCTGTGTACAGTAGACAAAAAATGGAAGAAGATATCAAATTCTACTAGTGTTTATTTCTGGGTTGTGTTTTTTTCTTTAAATCCTGTGCATATTTTATTTTATTTAGTTACTGGGATTGCACTGGGTCTACATTGCTGCTTTCCGATTTTCTCTAATTGTGGTGAATGGGGGATACTCTTCCTTGTGGTGCATGGGCCTCTCATTGCGGTGGCTTCTCTTGTTGCAGAGCACAGGCTCTTGGTGTGTGGGCTTCACTAATTGCAGCACGTGGGCTCAGTAGTTGCAGCTCCCAGGCTCTGGAGTTCAGTCTAAGTAGGTATGGTGCACGGGCTTATTTGTTCCAGGGCACGTGGGGTCTTCCTGGACCAGGGATCGAACATGTGACTCCTACATTGGCAGGCAGACTCTTATCCACTGTACCACCACTACCAGGAAAGTCCTGGGTTGTGGTTTTATGGGTGGTTGCTATTTTCTCTTTCATCCTTTGCTAAATTTTCTATAAAGAGTGTGATTTACTATCATTATCATCATACTGAATATATGTATACACACAAATGTGTATATATGAACATACATACATGTATACATGTATACATATATACAATATGATAGTCTGAATTCATGTATACACACATGTGTGTGCCTGTGTGTATGTTAAGAGCTCATTGGACCTATACTGCCTGGGTTCAAATCCTGGCTCTGCTACTCACTATAGTGAACTACAACTCAGCTCAAGATCTAAACCCAGGCTTCTGCCTGTCCTTAGGCAGCCCCAGAGCTAAGAATGGTTTCTAGATCTTAAAACAGTTGAAAAAATGGAAAGGATGAATATTTCATGACATACATAAACTATATGAAATTCAAATCCCAGTGTCCATAAATAAAATTTTGTTTGCACACAAACATGCTCATTCATTTATGTATTGTCTATGGCTGCTCAAGACTCAATCTAGTTTATAGTTGGAGAGGATCCTTATTCTCCAAAGAAAAAGAAAAACCTTCATTCCTCTGTTTATGGTTGTAATTGCAGAAATGTGATTCAAATGTCTTGACATTCTTGCGGGTATTGTTATATGAACCTTTTAAAAGGCAACAACCCAGTATTTTCTCTGCCCCTAAGCTGTAGACAGCATGTCTGAAAAGATACAGCATATTTGAGAGCAGGCCACAGTACAAGCAAGATCACACTGCAGTGTTGATTGAAAGACACAATGACCTGCTCATTTCATTCTAAGGCAATACCAGCTAAAAGGAAAACTTGAGAGCTACTTAGGGCAAATTGCATGTACAAGTAGGATGCTAAACTGCAAAAATAGATAGTCACTTCCAGAGAAGTTTTAACTTAAAATGCTATCTATCTGAAACTTTTGGTTAAGAGCTTTTAGAAGTAATGAAAATTCTGACTTTCTTGGCAGCAAAAGAATTACCTTGGGACTAATCATGGGACTATCACTTGATGGTACCTTGGTAGAAGCTATGGCTCATTTTAAACAATTTGGAGATAAACATTCTGATCAGAAAATGAGGTGAAAGACCCTTGCAACTTTCCAAGACTGCATATTAAATCATTCCCCAGTTACACAGAATCATTATTTGGAAGGAATAATTTGTGCCAAGGCCTGGGAAACTGTCTCTTAACTCCCTGCATCAACTATTTTCAATGCAGGGTTCCTCAAACTCAATTTTAAACTTTGAAACCACTGCATAGCAATCAAATCACTAGACTTTTTAATCAAGGGATCTATGTTCTATTCCATTCCATAAAAGCTGGCTTTGAGACCAAAAACCATGGACTGTATATACAAACTCAAATATTAAAGAAAAACAAAAAACCTCCCAACCCCCTTCAAATTTATTAAAAATATGCAAGTAAAAAATTATAAACATATGACAGTAGATCTTGCTTCAAGTATGTAGTTCTATAAGAAGGTCATTCTTTTCCTTTTGGTGACATATTTCCAAAAAGAGTAAAATGAATGTAAAAAAATTGTCCACAACATTTCTCCCATGTTGAGAATAATGTATTACATGTTTCAGCATGATTTTTATCTGCTCCTGCTGTCATCCCTGGAAGGACATTTCACATATTACAGACTGACTTTTTTTTTAAAAAGACATCTTGAAGTAGTTTAGTAAATTAAAAATGTAATCCTGTGGTGGCTATAAACCTTAATCTAACCAATTTGAATTTTTGAGTTGGTTAGTTAGATTAAGGGAGAATCCAAGAGTGAGGGGAAAAAAAAGCAATAATGTGTGTTTGAAATAGAAAATACTTTGAGATGTTTCTCCAACAAAATCACCTTTAGTTGAAGATTTTGCTTTTCAACACCCCCGCTATAGAGCTGATACTAGGAAAGGGCAGGTGTAGAATCTGCTGCCTGGATAATGCCTACCCATGATTTATGATTACTTGGCCTTCTGGATCACTTTAGTTATAATCCTTAGATGATCTTGGTACAAGGGTGGACCAGTAAAGCAAAAGGGAAGCAACCTAGCATCTGTTGATCATTGCATGCACATTTTAGGTACTTACAGTGTTTCCATTTCATCTTTGCAACAATCCTACAAATGAGGTGTTAATAGCCCCATTTCACAGATGAAACACTTGAGGCTCAGGGGACGCAGTGACTTTTCCAAGAACATAACTAGTAACTGGCAACATTGTGATTTGAGCCCTAGCGCCTGAAATGTAGACCTGTCAAGAGCTAAGTTCTGGAAGGAAATAAAGTCCAAGAGAAGCACAGCTGAGTTAATACCCAAAAGTGTTCAGCCTATTAGTGGGAAAAGCAAACTACAAGCAAGATGAATGGGAAAAGCTTAATAAAATGGAAAAACAAAGAGGTTGTCAGGACAGCAGAGTTTAATCCATCTGCATACTTCAAAATCCCCAAAAGATGTGCCAGCGCTTCACTCAGGCAATTTCTAAGAAGCCCCAGGAGTTGACCTGTCATATCTGATTCCACTGGAAGTATATGCTTGGACCTGCCAGTGACAGGAGGGCAGGGATGGTACCCACCTTAGTCTCTGTATTTAGCATCACTTAGAGCAGAGATCTATGTTCGTTTCCAAGGCAAACCATTCAATATCACAGTAATCCAAACCTATGCCCCAACCAGTAATGCTGAAGCAGCTGAAGTTGAACACTTCTATGAAGACCTATAAGACCTTTTAGAACTAACACCCCAAAAAGATGTCCTTTTCATTATAGGGGACTGGAATGCAAAAGTAAGAAGTCAAGAAACACCTGGAGTAACAGGCAAATTTGGCCTTGGAGTACGGAACGAAGCAGGGCAAAGGCTAATAGAGTTTTGCCAAGAGAACACACTGGTCATAGCAAACACCCTCCTCCAACAACACAAGAGAAGACTCTACACATGGACACCACCAGATGGTCAACACTGAAATCAGATTGATTATATTCTTTTCAGCCAAAGATGGAGAAGCTCTATACAGTCAGCAAAAACAAGACCGGGAGCTGACTGTGGCTCAGATCATGAACTCCTTATTGCCAAATTCAGACTTAAACTGAAGAAGGTAGGAAAAACCACTAGACCATTCAGGTATGACCTAAATCAAATCCCTTATGACTATAAAGTGGAAGTGAGAAATAGATTTAAGGGACTAGATCTGATAGACAGAGAGCCTGATGAACTATGGACAGAGGTTCGTGACATTGTATAGGAGACAGGGATCAAGACCATCCCCATGGAAAAGAAATGCAAAAAGGCAAAATGGTTGTCTGAGGAGGCCTTACAAATAGCTGTGAAAAGAAGAGAAGTGAAAAGCAAAGGAGAAAAGGAAGGATATTCCCATTTGAATGCAGAGTTCCAAAGAATAACCAGGAGAGATAAGAAAGCCTTCCTCAGCTATCAATGCAAAGAAATAGAGGAAAACAACAGAATGGGAAAGACTAGAGATATCTTCAAGAAAATTAGAGATACCAAGGGAATAATTCATGAAAAGATGGGTTATAAAGGACAGAAATGGTATGGAACTAACAGAAGCAGAAGATATTAAGAAGAGGTGGCAAGAATACACAGAAGAACTGTACAAAAAAGATCTTCACGGCCCAGATAAGCACAGTGGTGTGATCACTCATCTAGAGCCAGACATCCTGGAATGTGAAGTCAGGTGGGCCTTAGAAAGCATCACTATGAACAAAGGTAGTGGAGGCGATGGAATTCCAGTTGAGCTATTTCAAATCCTGAAAGATGATGCTGTGAAAGTGCTGCACTCAATATGCCAGCAAATTTGGAAAACTCAGCAGTGGCCACAGGACTGGAAAAGGTCAGTTTTCATTCCAAGCCCTTAGAAAGGCAATCCCAAAGAATGTTCAAACTACCACACAATTGCACTCATCTCACACGCTAGTAAAGTAATGCTTAAAATTCTCCAAGCCAGGCTTCAGCAATATGTGAACCAGATGTTCAAGCTGCTTTTAGAAAAGGCAGAGGAACCAGAGTTCAAATTGCCAACATCTGCTGGATCATCAAAAAAGCAAGAGAGTTCCAGAAAAACATCTATTTCTGCTTTATTGACTATACCAAAGCCTTCGACTGTGTGGATCACAATAAACTGTGGAAAATTCTGAAAGAGATGGGAATACCAGACCACCTGACCTGCCTCTTGAGAAACCTATATGCAGGTCAGGAAGCAACAGTTAGATCTGGACATGGAACAACAGACTGGTTCCAAATAGGAAAAGGGGTACTTCAAGGCTGTATATTGTCACCCTGCTTATTTAACTTATATGCAGAGTACATCATGAGAAACGCTGGGCTGGAGGAAGCACAAGCTGGAATCAAGATTGCTGGGAGAAATATCAATAACCTCAGATATGTAGATGACACCTTATGGCAGAAAGTGAAGAGGAACTAAAAAGCCTCTTGATGAAAGTGAAAGAGGAGAGTGAAAAAGTTGGCTTAAAGCTCAACATTCAGAAAACTAAGATTATGGCATCTGGTCCCATCACTTCATGGCAAATAGATGGGGAACAGTGGAAACAGTGTCAGACTTTGTTTTTTTGGGCTCCAAAATCACTGCAGATGGTGATTGCAGCCATGAAATTAAAAGACGCTTACTCCTTGGAAGGAAAGTGATGACCAACCTAGATAGCATATTAAAAAGCAGAGACATCACTTTGCCAACAAAGGTCTGTCTGGTCAAGGCTATGGTTTTTCCAGTGGTCATGTATGGATGTGAAATCTGGACTGTGAAGAAAGCTGAGTGCCGAAAAATTGATGCTTTTGAACTGTGGTGTTGGAGAAGACTCTTGAGAGTCCCTTGGACTGCAAGGAAATCCAACCAGTCCATCCTAAAGGAGATGAGTCCTGGGTGTTCATTGGAAGAACTGATGCTGAAGCTGAAACTCCAGTACTTTGGCCACCTCATGCGAAGAGTTGACTCATTGGAAAAGACCCTGATGCTGGGAGGGGTTGGGGGCAGGAGGAGAAGGGGGCGACAGAGGATGAGATGGCTGGATGGCATCACCAACTCAACGGACATGGGTTTGAGTAAACTCCAGGAGTTGGTGATGGACAGGGAGGCCTGGCGTGCTGCGATTCATGGGGTGGCAAAGAGTCGGACATGACTGAGCGGCTGAACTGAACTGAACTGAACTGAAGACTGAATAGCTTATCTATTGACCAAAGGAGGAAACTGGAAACCCCTGCATTCCCATTGTCCCAGGAGTCCGTGTGAACTGTGTAATGACCTGTGGAGGGGTTAGCTCCCATGGCTGGCCCTGCCCAAGAGTCAGCACTGGGAGGAGGGTGAAGTAAGCAGAATCGAGGGTGCACGTTTTCAGGGGCCACTCACTCTCAGTGAGTACAGGGTCAGAGTCTGCTTAAATTTTGTACCCCAGACCCCTCGCCCAGATCACCCTGCTCCTGGTCCTGCCGTGAACAAGCCCTGAGCCTGTTTTGGATCAGCGTAGGTAGCAGTTAAGCATGTAGGCTCTGGGCTCAGTCTAACTGCCAGCCCAGGCTCTGCCTCTTACTTACGCTAACTAGCTGGAACCTCAGGCAAGTTACTCACCAGAAACCTCTCTAAACATCTGTTGTTACCTGCAAAATGAGGGTTGGAGTCGTGCCTACCTTCTAACAGGCCTACTGGGAGAGTTTGATGGGGTACCACATGGAAAGTGTCTGGTGCATTGTAGAAAGAAGGCACACACTCAAGATTCCAGGGCAAATCTGTCAGCAGCTGCCCCAAAAGGCAACCCAGGGGAAACACTCTCTGTTCCTTTTCAATGCACGAGAAAGCAAGACACAGTTTGCGAGGCCATGGTAGGTGGTTTTGGATGGTCAGCGAAATAAGGCTGCTGCTAGGAAAAAATATTGCAATCTGTGGAGAAGAGACCACCCAAATGTGTTTTCTTCACCATTTTGCAACTGTGATGGCAAGAAGTATGAATGGATGCTAAAGTTAATGGCTGGCAGAATTTGATGAGAAGGACAATTATGTGTTTCTTAGTGTCTCCCCACAAAGTACATATTAATCAAAGAAAAAGTAAGAGAAACTTTACAGTGGGGAAATCTGGAGGACACCACCTTACCAAATAGTCACCAGAAATGGGGGAAAGTGACATTCTGTGCCTCCTGATATGAGCACTGAGCAGGACACCCCATCACTTTTGTGGAATTATTGTCCCAAATGCATAACCTGAGTCTAATTAGGGCCAATTGGGGGATGTTTTACAAAATAACTGGACTATATTTCTCAAAATTGTTACGGTTGTAGAAAACAAAGAAGACAGAGAGTCCACCCCAGATTACAGAATACCAAACATATCTGACAGATAAATGCATCACATCATCCTGGAGGGAGTCCTGTACCAAGGGGAAGGTTTGTTATAAAGACCAACATAGGAACAATGGAGCACATTTGAATTTTGGTTATAGTAAGGTATAATCTTAAATTTCCTCATATTGATAATGATACTGTGGCTATGTTAGAGAATGACCTCAGGAAATAGACTTTGGAATATGGGGGAATAAAGGGGTATGATGTCTATAATTTATTCCTAAGTGGTTCAGAGCAAAACAACACACAAATGTATGTGAGAGCTATTGAGGTGTTATATAAAGCTAATGAGGTGTTATAAAATAAAAAGATACAAAAAGATGTTTTGTGAATTATTCATATATGCTAACTATAAATTTAACCTCTGTGTCATGTATGTGGACAGGGAAATTAATTTGTATATACATGTTTCCCTTTTACTTTTTTATTTGCACAGTAAAAGCAACAACAATCAATACCATACTGCTTTTCTTCACATCTGTATGATTTTAAGAAATCGCTTTTTGTCCTGGAGAAATAGCTTATAGATGAAACAAATAGTAACAAATTGTGAAATCTGTGAACCTCAGAAGTCAATAGCGTGAAACCTACCCTCCGGGGCAGGGAGGAAAACAAGTGTCATGAGAGAAGAGGCAGGCATAAGGACAGCAAGCTGGGGAAATGAACGTTTCCAATGCCACTGACTCAGAACACACAGTAGTTACACTTTCCCTCCTTCACTTGAAAGGATGCTTTTTGGTCTGTAGTCTGAAGAATGACTTCAAATGACACAGGAGTTGCTTTGAGGAGACATATAACAAGAACGTTTCCAGAACAATAAGAATCACTCTAAAGGCCTAGGTCCCAGAAAGGACCCACAGTAAAAAGCAAAGTCAGACAGCTGATGTCTTGCTGCTTCAGCCAACCACCTCCACTGGACCCATGAAGAGTCTCAACAGCATTTGAGGGAGAGTTCAAATCAGTATATATATGGTGTCCTTACAAACTCTGTAGGGTCACTTTCCTGACCAGATGGTGACAGCTTATGCCCTGAAGAAGCACAGACAGAGATTTCCAGAGTTAAATAAGCTGGAAAATGAATTGGCTTCATAGCTTCTTTTTCTTCTAGTCTAACAACAGCTTTCCCCTCGTGGCTCCCCACCCTCTGTTCCTGCAGGTACTTATTGCTTTATGCTTCAGGCAATGAAGAGGTGAACTTTGAAGATCAAGGGCTGGGCAGTCCTGAGGGCAGGACATCTGGAGGCCCAGGAGCTACATACACTGTGTTCTCATAACGGCTGGGCCTGCCTTCGGTCCTGAGAACCTATCCCTGAGGTCAGTAAAGCTCCTTTGCAAGCCTGGTGACCACTCGCTGTTCCACGGGGACAGCATGGCAGCCTGAGGTTTTCGGTGTTGCATGGGTCTGAAATACCTGTGAGTTTAGAAAACAAAACCACAGTTCTTCCTGGCTGGGCTGGTCCCCCAACCCAGTCTCAGCAGGACAATGCTGCGGCTGCGGGCTCCCGCCGAGCTCTGAGACCCTAAGGAGGGTCAGCGCTGGCACCAGCATGGAGCTAGGGCACGTGCAGTGGGAGCCCTGGGCTCCCACTCCTCCTGTTCCTGATAGGATTGAAGGCCTCCTTCAGGCAGAACTGCTCGGTCTTTGTGAGGTTAACCTTGCAGATGGTGGGTGAATGGGGAGTCCAGTTTCCTGGTGGACCAGGGCCTTTCCTTCCTTCCCCTGACATTCTGTGAAGCTTATGGCTTCTTGAAAGTGAGAGCTAATGTCAGACTTGGGACTGTCTTCTGCAGGGACCCCTTTGTCGTGTAGACGGGCCGGGCAGGCCTCGGACATCTGCAGGAGACGTTCAGCAGGGCTGTGAAATGCAGATTGGTGAGGATCACACACTTGGATGCATGGTAGGCATTTCCAAGGTTGAGGAACAGAAGGACTGTAACGGGGCTGCCTTGTTCAAAAGCTGGCTGATAGCTGATGTGAGCACTGGTTCCCACTCTGTCTATTGAGGGCTCTCTTAGCTTCAACCTTGTCTTGTGAAATGAGTATTATGTTCATGCAATGCTCAGGATATTTCAATTAAAAGGTCTCATATCCCCCTTTGAGGAAGTAGACCTGTGGGGCTGGGGCCAGCAGACAACCAGGTGTCACCAGAACACACAGTGCAACCCCCTTCCCCCAAACTCCCACCCTGGCCTGGCTGCTTCCTACCCCAGAAACTCATATTTATTTGGCTGTGCCACACGGCTTTGCAGGATCTTACTTAGTTCCTTGATCAGGGGTTGAACCTACATCCTCAGCAGTGAAAACATGCAGTCCTAACAACTGGACATCCAGAGAACTCCTCAGAAACCCTAATTTATATTTTTTATGTCTCTGAGGCTATGGTTTTTCCAGTGGTCATGTATGGATGTGAGAGTTGGACTATAAAGAAAGCTGAGTGCCAAAGAATTGATTCTTTTGAACTGTGGTGTTGGAGAAGACTCTTGAGAGTCCCTTGGACTGCAAGGAGATCCAACCAGTCCAGCCTAAAGGAGATCAGTCTTGGGTGTTCATTGGAAGAACTGATGTTGAAGTTGAAACTCCAATACTTTGGCTACCTCATGCGAATAGCTGACTCATTTGAAAAGACCCTGATGCTGGGAAAGATTGAGGGCAGAAGGAGAAGGGGATAACAGAGGATGAGATGGTTGGATGGCATCACCGACTCAATGGACATGGGTTTGGGTGGACTCTGGGAGTTGATGATGGACAGGGAGGCCTGGCGAGCTGCGGTTCATGAGGTCACAAAGAGTCAGACACGACTGAGTGACTGAATGAATGAACCTATGTTACCCCATGTATTTTCCCTCATGTGGTTAAACACAGATTCCATACGTATTTTACTATTTATGTTCAGAGTTGGGATGGACTTATTAATAACAGCAAAGATTCTGTTACTTAAAAAGGTTAAGTTTTTTGCAACAGGGGTTTCCTCTTACATAATATATCCTTGAACCAGTAAAACTTGTCATTTCTAGGTCAAGTTATGTTACTTAAAATAATAGAGATGCCCCAAGTAATTGTCAGTGATATTGAATTTTAAAAATTTGAGGATGTACCCCCAAAGTTGTAAGTGGCCCTTAAAAGTTGCTCTAATTCTAAAAGTAATTGTTTAAAACACACCTTGAGCTCATATTTTCAGCCTCATCCATCATTACCTGGTTATTTCACATTTTGGCAGAAGCCTGAGATAGTGTCAGGGCTCTGACAGCAGTTGGTAGAACATCTGGAAGTTGCAGCATTATTTGGGAACATAGGGAAATATTGGTATTTAAGTCTGTTCAATCTACTGTGCAGGAAAGGACAATGTCCTCCATGTGTAGTGTAACAATCACAAACACAGAAAACTATGTAAAAGTAAGCAAGAAAACCTCTGTTTCTGAGTTTTTTTTGTTAACTTTAGTTTCTTACCAATTGCTTTATTAGCATTCATTAGCCTGATTTAACAGTCATCAAAACCAGTCATTCTGGGTAGCTTTCACTCATTCACTCAATACAAATTTTAATTATGAAGAGAAAAAAAAGAAATCTTATTCTCAGTGTCTCTAGTGAGAATTGCAGGTAATGAGCTACTGTTCATCACTGCTCTGCCAGTGGAGGAACCCGGGAGATTGCCTGGCTCTTGCCTGCCTCATTTTGTTCTACTCTCTTCCTTGCTCACAAATCTTCCAGGGCCTTGCAGCTCTGTTCTGGCTTTGGAGCATTTTCCACTTGAACTTGGAGCCTGGACTGCTTCATTCTCACAGTTTGACTCTCAGCTCCTCAGGCGAGCTGCCTGGGACCATCCAGTCTTCTTGAAGGCGCTGACTGTCTTGGGTATCACAGGGCATAGAGCCTGGCCTGGAGGGTGTGCAGAGGCACAGAGCTATATGGGGGCTCTGAAGGCTTATAAATAGCATCCCCCTGAAAAGAACCAGACAGATGCACCTGTGACTTCTAGAAACAAGGACGTTTTTAAACCTGAGGTTGCATCTAAACCTGATCTGAAAAGGGCTTCAAAAGTAATCAAAGTTAAGACGATTCTAACATCCAAAAGGACAATGTTTACTACAGTGGAAACATATCAAGTCTACAAAAATTAATGAGACCATAACCATTCTTAAAAAAGAAAACTCTAGAAAAATCCCCTCATGCTTATCACCAGTAGGCAAATTTAACTCCTTACTGTGAAAGTTATGGAGAAAAGTAAGCATTTGTATCACCCAATAGGAACAGGATTTCAAGGTAACAAAATAGCCCCAGTTGATGAGAAGCAACATTTTATACAGTGCAAGTATAAAAGGAATGACAGGATTTGAAAAGCCTTATTTGGAGACTTCTTGAGCAAAGACGATCAGTTGGTCTTAAATAAGTAAGTGGACAGTAGGTGGGATGCTGGATATTCTATGGAGCTACGTTTGTGGGACACAAGTGACACGCTGGCATGGGGCCCAGTGAAGCAGCAGAATAGAGATCAGGCCGATCGCAAGTGGGTCCACCAGATATTATGAGCTTCTACAGTGGGACAACATGAAGTATACAACACTTCTGCTTTTGCATATGGATGTCTTGGTGTCTTTTTTCTTAAGAGCTCTAAAGTGAGATTGTTGTTTAGTCACTAAAACAGAAGCCGACTCTTCTGCCACCGCATGGACTGTGGCCTGCCAGACTCGTCTGTCCATGGGATTTCCGTAGCGAGAATACTGCAGTGCGTTGCCATTCCCCACTCCAGGGGATCTTCCCCACCCAGGGATTGAACCTGTATCTCCTGCATTGGGAGGCAGAGTCTTTACCATGGGGCCACCTGGAAAGCCCTAAAGTTAGATTACCTGGTTCGAACCCAAATTTCCCTCTTCGAGGCTGAGTTCTTAGCAGAGTATGCTGTCTCTCAGAGACTCAGTTTCCTGCACCTCTTAGGGTTTTTTTGAGGACCTAATAAGAATATTTGTGAAATTGTTGGACCAGAGCCTGACACTTTCAAGACTCAATAAATTAGCTATTAATGTTTTATTTTCTGTATATGTCTGTATATAATCTCCCCTCTCCTGCCCTCATCCCAGTCCAGTCCATGAGATTCTAGACTTCCAGTTGGGTAAGTTTAGAACCCATTAAAATGTCAGGACCCAAGTTCCAGACTTTTCCATTAATAACCTCCTTGTAGAACCTCAGTGAGTCAGTTGCTCAAAGACTCTGACCTTCAATTTCCTCACTGTGAGCCTGGGAAGAGAGGTGGGCAGGTTGAAGGGGACCTTAACTGTGTGCCACGTGGGGAAGAAAGATGACACAAAACAGGATATTAAGATGTTCTTCAGCATGATTGTGTTTTAAAACCTGGGACACATGCATGTCAGATAAAAGTGATGTTTCCCAGTCAGTGGGCAGGACACTGGTCTTATTTTTCTTAACATCTTCTAAAATAAAACTGAGGGCTGCCCTGATTCTATTCCTTTCAGGATTTAGTGAACAAGTATTTGTTCACTAAATCTTTTAAATCTGTTATGATCATTATTCTTGTTCCAGAATAAAAATTCCACAGCACTGTCACTTAACAAAACAGTAAAATATACTTATTGACCATGCCAATCACCTGCTTGCCTGATAGACCATAAGCTCTGTTATGGCAGAGACCTTAGTTTTTGTTCATTGATGCAAGTCCAGGACCTACAACAGTGACTCACATATAGTAAATATTTGATAAATATTAGTTTAATTGTTCAAAAATCCTTACAAAGTTATCAGCATGGATATTGAATGTTTCTGTAAAATATGGGGCTCAGGTCCTGTGAAAAGGTTACATTTACTTGTCTCCATTCAAGGTTGATTTGAGTCAGGGAAACATCAAAGTTGAGTACGGACTTTGTAAATATGGGCGGTGTGTGTCACTTGTCAGAGCAGACTGGTTTTCCCCATAACTCTCCCAGTGCAGGGTAGTCACAGGAAGTAAGTAGGAATTCACATTCCAATCCCCGCCTCTCTTTGTTCCTCCTAAATGAGGGCAGCTGATTACAAAAGAGCCTGTCAGTGCTGAGGTCTCCGTGTTCCAGAGTTGGGTGAGGAGGTGATCAGGGAGTGGAGACTGAATACTTACAGCCTTGGCAGACAGCAGAGACAGGGCAACGGGGGCCCCAGGTAGAATTACTTTGTCCCCACAGTGAACCATGGTGGAACACCTTCCCTGTCCAGGCCTATAGAATCACAAGGACCTCAGAAGTTAAACACCATGCCCCAGGTCACAGAGCTAGAATCTGCTGGAGACAGACAACTCAATCTAGGCTGTCTGCCTTGAAGACTTGAGTTTTCTCTGCCGTTCCTCTTCTGCTTTTGGTATCTCCACTTGCTAAACATTTATTGAGAGCCAGTCATGAACCAGATACTATTCTAGACATTTAGGGGCTATCAGTGGACAAAACAAAGGTCAGTGTCTTAATCTGTGGGGCATGAAAGCAAGAGAAGGACCCAGAGACCAAGCCAAGAATTTTGCCTTGAGCTCTTGCCTTAGGGGCAGAGACAGAAGCCGACTTCTGTAAAGGCGCTCTTTGCTTCCCCCCCCCATCCAATCTGAATATTCTGCACATAATCTGGATGTGAAAGTTAGACTGGAAAGAAGACTGAGCACCGAAGAATTGATACTTTTGAATTGTGGTGTTGGAGAAGACTCTTGGGAAGACTCCTTGGACTGCAAGGAGATCAAACTAGTCAATCCTAAAGGAAATTAGTCCTGAATATTCATTGGGATGACTGTTGCTGAAGCTGAAGTGCCAATACTTTGGCCACCTGATATGAAGAGCCGACTCACTGGAAAAGAGGGCAAGAGGAGTAGCGGGCAACAGAGGATGAGATGGTTAGATGGCATCATCGACCCAATGGCCATGAGTTTGAGCAAACTCTGAGAGATAGTGAAGGACATGGATGCCTGGCGTGCTGCAGTTCACAGGATTGAAAAAGAGTCAGACATGACTTAGGGACTAAACAACAATAACAATCTGGCGCAGCATTAAAACTTCTCCAGATGGAGCCTCATTAGTCCTTGTAGCTCTGTGTAGGCTTTATCTCAATCCTTGGTTCAAGAATGGTAATTTAAGAAAAAGTAAACAAGTGTTGGGTTTTTTAGTGGGGAGGTTTTGAAGTCTAGAGTTTCTTAAACAGGTAGCAAACAGGTAATAATAGAGGGCACTGATTTACTTGAAAGTGCCTGTGGCATCACTACAGATCAGATTGGAAGAATAGCAATTAAATTTATGATAGTGATCGTCTCAGAGCAAGACAAGGAAGGCTGGGTCAGTGGCCATGGGGTCCCTTGACAACAGAGTTGGCCATCTGTGTGCATTATTTGGATTCTTTAACAAAGAAATGTTATAAAGCAAATTGGATTGAAAGTTGTCAGTTTTGCCTGGTGGGAACACGGTTGTTTTTTATTCTACTCTTGTACTTTCTGGGTTGTGAGTATATAGGTTAGAACAAGGTGGTTGTGGTTAACAACCAGATTATCCGGGTTCATTTCTAGGTCTGTCACTTATTGACTCAGCCCGTCTTTCTTTATTCATATGTTATAAAGATTGAGTGAATTGGTATGGAAAGCATTTCAACTAATGGTTGGCACATAATCAGAACTATCGTAGAAGCATTAACTGTACTGTTCTTATAGCTAAGAATATAGATATAAATAATTATGAATTGATCAACAAAAATGATACATAGGATTTTCTAAGTGCATCGAAAGTTTACAATCGTGATCAAAGAAGTTCTGCTAAGGCCCCATGACTCCTGTGAAGTGAGCCTGATAATATGGAGTGGATCAGGAGATCCAGATCATGAGTAAGAAGTGGAGACAAACTCTGAAGTGTGGGCACTTAGGCATTTGTTTGAGTCTACACAGTGACATCCAGTAAAAGAGGACCTTTCCCTGTGGTTCCAAGAATTAGTAATTCATAAACAGGAAGCATTAATTCTAAGAACCAAGGTACAAGGCTGTTTTTTTACACTCTTCTGTACAATAAGGTTTTTTCTTTTTCTTAAAAAAAATATGTTTCCTGCTGCTCTTTCGTCCATTTTCCAATTACAACCTCCATGTGCAGTGGATTAGCCTCACTGCAGATGTGGGTTATTTAAATGCATGTATATTTTTAAAGCTGAGTAATTATTTTTTTATCCTTTAATTAGCTTATAAACCAAACACATTTCTGCTCTCTTTGCTGACAGGAAACTGTCATATATTATGTGTCTATTGCCTCTAAGTGAAATGACTTTACTCAACAAGTTTATTAATTTCTGATTTCATGTGTAAAATAGAAAACAACTAAAATTTTAGTCTCTAAAGGAGAAAAAAATTGTGAACCCATGTGTGGCTGTTAGCGTAAAGGACACCATCCTGGGCCCATATAGTTCTCCCTATCTTTCTGCTGACCCCACCCAGGAAGGTGCCGTGCAGTGAATCACATCTCTGTTGTCAATGGCTTTGTAGATAATAGATATTGTTTATTAATCATCAGGACCAGGTGGCTTTTATGTTCTGTCAGTCCCTTAGCAAGGATGAAGACCTTTGAGAATGTATTCCTGGCACCCATGAGACTAGTTACCCATTCAGTCATCTTGACTCAAGAACACACACCCTGTTTCCAAGCCCTTACCCCCATTGTTGTTGTTTACTCACTAAATCGTGTCTGACCCTTTGGTGACCCCACAGACTAGAGCATGCTCCTCTGTCCATGGGATTTCCCAGTCAAGAATACTGGAGCAGGTTGCCATTTCCTCCTCCTCCAGGGTATCTTCCTGACCCAAGGATTGAACCCGCATCTCCTGCATCTCCTGCATTGGCAGGTAGATCATTACCACTGAGCCACCAGGGAAACCCACTTGCCCCCCTACCCGAGGTTAACTATAAAATTGTCTCAATGGCCCCTGGGGGTGTGGAGTGCATCTGTGAATGCTTCTAGGTCATGGTCCACCCAATCCCGCCCTGGGGGTTACCCTGTAATAAACTTATCATTGATTATATGGTTTCACGATACCTTTCCAGTTAGGTGGGCTCTTTTCATTCTCTCCATCCTCCAACAATCCACATAGACCAACTCAAAATTCTCTTTGTTCATTTTATTTTTCTTCTCTGCTCACTGCCCTCTCAGATCTCCTCACTCTTTCCTCACAGTGTTCTATTCTTAAGCCCGACTTTCATTTCTCAAGAGACTTGAACTGTCTAAATAAATATCTAGGCTACTGGTTGTTTGTCACTGGCGGAAGCATTTCAGATTGCAGGGCACTCAATGCCAATCTGTGGATAATGACCTCAGATCTGAACAGACCTTTAACAAAAGAAATGGTTACACTCCTTAAATCCACTTCCTCTGCAGGTCACTTCTCCATAACTTGAGCCTGATCATACTATAGGAGCCTCATCCACTGAGGTCACCAGTGACTCCTTCTCACTGCAAATCCATAAGCCCTGGGCAATCCTTAGTGTGATGCTGAATCTTGGCCCACTTTGGTTGCAGTTACCCTGCACTTCTGCTGCCCTTTCCTGGTCCTCCTCCTCCCTTGGCTGCTCCCTCTTAGTTGTCTTAGTCACTTCTCTTCCTCCACCCACCCGTGGGGTGTTAGTGTCCCCAGGCCTTCTGCCACAGATGTATGATTTACTGATTTACAGACTTTCTCTGAATGGAATCTCTAGAAGTCATCCAAACATTCTGCATGCAAGTTGTGATATGGCGATTGATAGTAACACATACATATTTGGTCTTCCTTCCCCTTTCCTGGCACAGAGCTCCTGAAACTCTTGTAAATTCTTAAGCATGAAGAGCAATTTTTGTTCTATGGAGGCAACTCTGGGTGGGCTCCTGGATGGCTCCAGGATGGAGGCTGGTCACCAGCAAGATCAAGCCATGGAGACTCGGGATTTTTCTGATTAATCCAACCTGATAAAAGTACTGTGGGAACCTGTACTGATCAGAAGCACAGGTGACATCATGGACTTGTGATTGGCATCTGAAATGGGAGGGTGGGAGGTTTTGAAGGACTGAGCCCTTAACCTGTGGGATTTGATGCCATCTCCAGGTAGACAGTGTCAGAGTTGAGTTAAACTGTAGGACACCCAGCTGGTGTCAGAAGTGTTATGAGAATGGTACTTGTGTGAGAATCAAGGAAAAACACAGGAGGATTTTGCTTATGCACACATCCATGTGGACATGTGGTTCTGGAGAAAGTATCTTGAGCTTTCAGTATCATTCTTTTTTTTTTTTTTAGTATCATTCTTAAAGATCCATAAGCCTAAAAGAACTACTGGAAAGAGAGAAGGAGGATACGAAGAACCTGCATCTCTTATGTCTCTTGCATTGGCAGGCAGGTTCATTACCACTAGTGCAACCTGTGAAACCCCCAAAGGAAGGAAAGGAAGTCCAAATTTGCAGCAGGCAGATGCTCCGCACCCATATTTGGAAACATCTCCACTTGGCTGTCTCATAGGCACTACCAACTCAGTGTGACCAACCCTGAAAGCAGCCACCCAAACAGGTTCCCATTCCTATCTCCTTTCATCTATCTGTATGTGGCACTGCCATTCACCCTGCTTCCCAAGTCAGAACTTTGGGGGAAAGTTTAAGTTATTAATTTATTCTCACATCTTACACTCAATCACCTTTAGTACCTGCCCATTTCAGACAATCACCTCCTTTCACCTAAAGTATAGCCATAACTTTTTGCCACCTTCTTGTCCCTAGTTCTTTTCTACAATAGTTTATCTTCATGTGACTGTCCAAGAAGTATTTCACATGTGACATTTCATCCAGTATTCCACAATGGCTCCCCATTGCTCACAGGGGAAATAAAGCACCTAAGCCAAATAGGTAAAGTCTTGGTCCTTGCCACCCGCACCACCCCGTCCCCGCCAAGAAGGCATTATCTTTCATCTCTCGACAACAATGTGATCAGCCAGGCTGAACTCCTTGAGGTCATGCCACAGATCCCTTGAGTTCATGCTTTGCACATGTGATTTCTCTGTATGGAACATCACCCCCGCACCCTCACTTCCTCCTTTACTGTCCACTTGTAATCCACCAGGCAAAACTCACCCCGAACTTCAAGCCTCTCCCTCTCAAGGGCCTCCTCCTTTGTGATGTCTTTTTGGCTTCCCCAGGTGACATGGGCCAGGCTTCTGGGATCCACCTACTC